AGTTTATAACATTTTGTATACGTAATGGTATAAAATAAAACTGTATATATTTAACTATTTTCTTCAAAAATTAATTATACAGTATATAAATATTAAAATTACATATTCAGGTAATTATTCTATGGTTATAGCTTTTTCAATCATTCAATGGTAATGGTTTTGTTGTACCTTTATCAAGTTAATGTAGAAATTTAAAACTCTAGTGTATATAATTATAATTTGTGATTGATAAGATCGTTTCTTCATAAAATCTGTTAATCAGGTACAGTCGACCCCCTATAACACTGTTGATTATTCCGTTTTATATGAATTCCATGTTGTACGAGTCACTTAGAGTTTACAAATACGTGAGCCGTTCACAGCCCGGCATACGTATTTGTAAAATCTAAGTGACTCGTTCAACATGGAATTCATATAAAACGGAATAATCAACAGTGTTTAGGGGGGTCGATTGTAACAGGTTTATATCGTGTAATTTACCTGTATAGAACACAGGTAATTTACAGGAAAGGATCATAAAATTAAAAGGTATATACAAAGGTTGAATAAATATAATAGACGGTGAATTGAATTATTTTTTTATTTAATTTAAAGATATTTTATTAAAAAGAAATCGTTAATGCTAATGATGAGTAAATTAACATTTAAGTTCGACCCTATTCCAGATATGACATACAACCCCCCCTTTATTTCTCTTCCCCGTCGACCTATAATCACCAAAATTTAATAGCATAAATCCATTTTATACGCGAACATTCGTGCAAAATTTCAGAAATTTCCGACAAAAATCACAAGAGTTATTAAACTTCAAAGAAGGTGAACGTATCCGTGCCCCCACACAAAACATACACACAAATATCCATACATACAGAAAAAAAGCACAAATTATTTTGCATTTCTCGAATAATTATGTTATTATTAGTAATTTTAATGTATTGCATTTGTAATGATTGTAATTAATAGAAAACGGAAGCAAACGTTTCTAAAATCTTATTATAATGAATATCGCGTGATGAAAGTTGTCACCGAATGACTACTTATTTGATATGGTTTCATTTAATGTCCGACAGTAATAGAAGTTCTAATTATAGAGAGCTATTGTTCTGATTATTAAGGAGAAATATTAATGTAGTAATGATATTATACGAGTGCCGTAATGATGGAAAATTAAATAAGTTTAAAAGATGAATGTCAGCTGCTCTCCATTAGGTGTCATTTTCTCTTCAAGTTTCCGTCTTGTCTCTTTGAATTCGTAATTAATTAACGTTGTACTCGCGAAACTAAAATGTACACAATTATTTATTTCACTATATAATAATATTTCCAAGGTTAGAACTTTTCAATTGAAATAGCATGACTTCCGATATGCATTGGACATTCGTGCCTTCTACCCTAAGGTTTCTATATCTGGTCTCGGTTTTCATTTATTTAAATATGTTTTGTGCCATCGTTTGCTAATGAAACTATTCCTATGTGCTTATTATGTGGAAAAACTCTCAGCAATGATGCTATGAAGCCAGCGAAAATGAAAGACAACTTGGAAAGGATCCATTCTAATAAGAAAAACAAAGATTTTGAGTATTTCAAAATACTACAAGAAAAATTGAGAGTTTGACCAAATTTGAATATATATTTGAAGTCATCTTGCTAGTGTTGATAGAGGAGAGGAGGACTGAAGACATCCTACAGCATCTCTCTTAATATAGCAAAGAATGGCAAACCGTATACTATTGGCGAAGAAATTATAATACCAGCTATAAAAGATGCAATTAAAAATGTTATGAAGAAAGACTCTCAACTAGTTTTAAAATGCATACCATAAAGTGCAAATACTGTGCAGAGACGTATTGCACTTAATGGTATGCACTTTGTCCGCTGTAAGTTTGCTATTCAACTTGACAAATCAAAGTTCGGAAGTTCAAATCTTCTCATTGCTTATGTTAGGTTTAATAGCCCATCCCTAAACGACACTGTTGATGAATTTCTATTTGCTAAGTATCTTGAAACTGATTCAAATGGCGAGAGAATTTTTTTTATGTTTGCAAGATTATTTGAATAAGCACAACATTCCTTTCGAGGATATTACTACAGTAGCTACTGACGGTGCACCTGGTATGGTAGGCCGTTACAGAGGATTTTTTGTCTTTCTGAAGGAAAAGGTTCCTAAAGTACAGTATATACTGTTCACTGTGTCCTACACAGGCAGCATCTTGTAGCCAAAAAAAAACTGAGTGGAGAACTTCATAATACTCTAAAAGTGGTCAATAAACAAAATTAAAGGTCATCCTCTCAATTCCAGACTGTTTGCAAAGTTATATGAAGAAAATAATGAAACTTTCAACCAATTACTTTTGCACACCGAGGTAAGGTGGTTGTCAAGAGGTGATAGGTTACAGTGGCTTGTTGACTTGTAGGACTCAGCTGAAGAGTTTCTTAGGAATGTGGATCCATCGTTATGTGACCACCAGTTAAAACAGTGCAAGAACCATCTGTTCTATTTGGCAGATCTTTATTCGAAATTTAATATAGTACAGAAGCGTTTGCATGGAAAAAATGTTACAATTGTTCAAGCTGGAACAATCATAATGGCCTTTCAGGTAAAAATGGAGTTATTTAAATCTNAGACTCTTAATACATTTTTATAAGCTTGCATTACATTAATAAATATTTGAAATTCATATTTTATCCAAGAAATTTATATAAAATAGGTAACAAAATTGTAATCAGTATAAGTATTTTAAAAAAATTAATTTTTAAAGCTATTAAAATTAAAAATATATATATTTGAATATTAATGTTTATATTTGTAGGTTATTGGAGATATTGATGAAATATTGGATTGGTTTCATGAAGCTGAAAAACAGATGTTGGAAGCAGAACCTCTCATTGTTGATCCAGATTCTTTAGCAGCCTTATTAAAAGAACAAAAGGTAAATTGTAATTATTTATTGACATATGTAATTAAATAAATAAAAATAATTACGGAATTTGATTTGGATAGATCTTAAACGATGAAGTCAGCAGTCAAAAAGGACGTGTTCGAGACATACTTGCCTCAGCCAAGAAATTAATGAGAGAGTCTTCGAGTGATGATTTAGCCCATATCAGAGATAAAGCCGATGAGCTTAAAGATGTAGTAAATACTGTATCAGCTCTTTCTGCTGATCGCCTCAGTGCCTTGGAACAAGCACTCCCTCTTGCTGAACATTTCTTTGAAACTCATGCAGATATAAGTCAATGGTTAGATGAAATGGAATCTGAAGCTGAACTTTTAGAAACTCCTGCCTTGAATGCTCATCAAATCAAAAAACTTCAAGATAGGAATAAAGTTAATATTTATCATTAAATAATTTTTAATTATTCAAATATATTACAGAATTTATAAAAGTAAATTATTTTAAATTTCATTTAGGGATTATTGCAATCAGTTAATGAACATAAACCACTCTTGGATAAATTAAACAAGACTGCTATTGCTTTGAAAAAGCTTTGCAGTGCAGATGAAGGTGATAAAGTCCAAGCAATTTTAGATCTGGATAATAATCGCTACAACAGCTTAAAAATGGCACTTCGTGAATGGCAAGATGCTCTTGATGAAGCTCTGCAGGCAACTTCTCAGGTATTTTTATGTCTAAAAATTGTCCATTATTTTCTTTACATCTTTAACATGAATTATTTTATATATTACAGTTTTCTGATAAATTAGATGGAATGCTAAATGCATTATCATCTACAGCAGAACAGCTTAATAATGCTGAACCAATATCTGCTCATCCAGAAAAAATACATGAACAAATCTGTGATAATAAGGCTGTTTTGAAAGATTTAGATAAACGTTCAAGTGCATTAGAAGCAGTTAGACGAGCTGCTGATGATGTAATTACCAAGGCTGGCGATTCAGAAGAACCTGCTGTGAGAGGTAAATTTTTTAAATTCCTTTTTTAGTACTTGGTATGGCTTTAATTGTTTAAAAAATATAATAAAATATATATGTATTTATGTATGTATGGGTTTTACGAGTGACCATAAAAAATGAATTTTTACTCTCACGTCTCTGTTATATATAAGAGGGAAAGTACTATATATATGTATTTATGTTAAAATAGGTTTTACGAGTGACCATAAAAAATGAATTTTTACTCTCACGTCTCTGTTATATATAAGAGGGAAAGTACTATTATACATAGGGATACAAAAGTAGGTATGCAGTTGTGAATAAAAATTACTGTATAATATATTACTATATGTTATATATAACATATTCTTCAGGGCTTATCTCTTCTGGATATTTTGGATTCCTTCCATCATTACCGTTCCGTCCCATTGTGGGCTTATCACACCCATGTTGGGCATAATAATAAGGCCACTCTAAGTGCTTACAGAACGGAAAAAAAATGAAAAATATTTATAAATAATTGTAGAAAATTGATAAAGAAGATATGTCTGTTTGTTTCCTTAATCTCGAGAATGGAGTTAGATAGCTGACTGGCACAACTCCACTGCTAAAGGAAAAGTATGATTTACAGGGGCAAGTAAATACTAATTGAAGATGGAGAGCATATATTTTGAGTTAAATAAATTAAAAATATGATTAAAATTTGAGAGAGAAAATATATATGTTACTTTTTAAAACATATATAGGCTTATAAATTATATGAAGGTCGTTTTAATATTATAATTATAAGTGATTCTTAAATACAGAAGTAAAGAAGCCAGAGCCTAGAGATGGATGAGTTTCTCGAATAATTGTTAGACTAGTTCTTATTTAAATTTTACAGATATATAAAGTAATACGGGTAATGTGGGTAATTGAAATACACATTGTCTACAGATATATGTTTATCCACTTATTCCTTTTCTGTGAAAATTAGATTGTTTGAAGGAAAATATGGTGGCATAATACTATATAATCCGTTCTCTACTTTGTTTAGAGACTCAAAACGTGTTTTTTTCAAGTTTTCAAAGTTCATGAAGGTGTTCGACAGCGTTACCAAGTTGGGAAATTCCCTGTAGATTTTTTCTATAAGGAGAAATATTTTTGGAAGAACCTAGAGGAAACTCTTTGGGGGAGGTAAATGATTTCTAGGCAGAGATGGAAATCCTGGGAGATTTACAGCCACGGGATAAAAATATATTTGTATTTTGATACGGTCACTGTGTTTTTATCTTAACCAAAAGATCACGATTACAATTCCAAGGTTAAAGGAAAGGTGTATCTCTTCTTATTCGCTTTATTTCTCCTTAGCTCTATCCCTCTTCACAACTGAGAAAAGTCTGTCTCGCGTATTATTAAGTGGCCATTACATCCAGCTTGCTTTCTGAGTTTTATTTCATTATTCGATTTCTAGGGGGAATTGTTTTTCGTTTTAGGGGAAACTACTGCTTGAGACATGGCAACAGTGGTGCTCGTGTGACATAAATCTGTACTGGGATTACATGTGCTGTGAAGTGTTTCTGAACAGTTTCTGAAGTGCTTTTGTGGTAAAACTCTTTTATTAATAAATGAAAAGAAAATTACAATATATGTTTTAGCTACATTTAAAGTTTGATATTGCACAAGATAATTTTTATAGGAAAATAGGAAATATTTTAGGGGATTAAATTCACTTTTACGGTTTTGTGCAATAATGTTAAATTTAAAAGAATATTCTTTTAACAGTGTTTTATTTAGCAATTGTGTAATAAAGATACTTTCTTTTTATTATTATTATTTTGGGTTATTTACACTTAGCATCTGTTCAGGTACATTAAAGATATCAAGTATTTTAACACATCATCATTAACACAGACATTTGACTATCGATATTTCACGTCTATAATAGTAACTCTTAATTTAAGAAACAAGGAACCTACCAGTGGTCGCTGGTTTCCTCTTGACCAACGTGCTAGCTACATAAAGTTTTTTTGGGTTTTCTTCTCGTGTCTAATACCTAAGTAGAGGCTGGTTTCCTGTAGAAAATCATTCGGGAATGTAACCCTTCTTGGAGATCGCCCATGCGTTGTCTTATATATATATGGCAGCAGAGGCATAAGCACGACCGCTGGCTGTGTGGATTTTCACATACTCTTCTGTCACAGGGTTACTCCTAGCAAAATAGAGCAACTTGCCACATATCATAGGAGCCAGTGGCAACAATTTAGAGCTTTTTATCGGGCTATATTAAAGAAAGAGTGTACTGTAACAGATTCCACACGATTGATGTCTTAGAGGATAACATTAGGAAGGTCCAAAGCATTGATATTGCGTATTGAAACGAGTTATAACATTCATAGGCTTTTCATTTAAATTAAATTAATTTGATTCAAAAATTTTTAAATGTAACTGCTTCAGTACACAGAATAAAGAAAAAAAAACATAACCAATGTTTTAATTAAAGAGAAAAATTTAAATAAAAAACTTTCAAAGAGTTTCATTCTTTTTATCTTTTCAAATGATCATTATTATTTCAACTAATTGGCAAAAGTACAACACTTAGAAAAAAAAGCTTAAAATAAAGATAAGAGGTAAAATAAATTATAAATAAATTAATTAAATGCATAATAAAAAATTTTGTACATGTAAAGAGAGCTTCCAAATTATTATAAAACAATTTTAGGGTTCTTCAGCCTGCACGTTTACTTCATCTGTTGCATTGTGTAACTCTAGAAAACTGTTTGTTAAGCTTTGGCACCGCAACACATGGGCGATCTGCCTAGGGGATGCCTTCCCGGAGATCTTTTCAAGGGTAACTGACCCCTATTCAGGCGTTACAGATGTGAAGAAAATCCGGAAAACCCCAACCCACGACCGAACTCCAAGTGTTCAGGAGACGGAACAACTAGATCACCGGTGGGCCCTGTAGCAAATTAATAAATCTAAATCCATGTCTTATAATAAGATCATTGTTGAAAATGTCGCAGCAACCTATTTTGCATTTCTAGTATGTTTTATTGACTCCTATATTAGGAAGAAGAAGGGCCCAGCATCTCCACAAATTGCTAATGATAACTCTCTAGAGATCCGCTTCTATCTTATTCAGTTACATTACTGAACTAACTGGTTTAATTGGATTTAATAATAAATGATAATTTTAAAAATAATGTTACAGTTTTTCCAGATTTTCACTCAATTTATTTTCTAAACTCTCCCATGATTTGTCTATCAAAAACATTTGTTTGAACAAAGAACGTCGAGTACATTTCAACTACAGCTTTATTCTTTAAAAGTTTGTGTATTTACTTTGAAATTTTTTATAATCCATAATGTAGTCAGGTATTAAAAACAAACTTCTACGTTCAATAAAATACCCAGAATAAGATGAAACTGCTCGAGTATAAAAATATATATATATATATTTAATCTATTTTTATACATTTAACAATAAGAATTCTATTTAAATTTTGAATAGAAAATATTCTTCCTTTTACTTATTTACTTTTCCCAATGAATGAAGACAAAGTTCCTGTTGTTAGTTTGAAATAAAATGACATTTTTAACATTATATAATACTTAAAAAACACAAAATTCTTCTTTATAGGAAAGAAAATAATAAATTGATTTGATACGTTGTAAGAAACATCGATCATCCTGGAGTTTTCTACAATTTCCACTATTACTTTT